TGTTGTTTTCACCCATCCCGTCAATTACCTACCAATCCCACCAAGGCCCGCAGCTATTTATGGCCGATTTAACAAATTTTCAAATAAAATTTAATTTCGTCATAACTTTCAATACGTGTGGATGAAATATCATGCATGTCTATAAAAATATCAAGATGAGATAAATATACCGTGATAAGTATTCATATGATACAGAATTTAAATAATTTTCCTACCAATTTACCAAAATAATAGGGGTTGTTGCCAAATATATATTTTGTTAATCTGTAATTGTTATATATTATATTTATAATTTTTAAATGCGTAGAATCTATAGCTATGACCCGATATCGAGATTATTGTCACGGGGCACATAAAATTTGAATGATATATACAATTCCACCTTTCATGATGACAAAAAATTAAGAATAAAACAATCATACAATCCTGTCACGCGCATGTTATTTCGAATAAATTGACTACATTATAAAATAATTGAAGCGATCAGCTTATTTATATGTCATACACAACTTTTATATATAATATATATTTTAGGGGACAATAAAATGTATAAAACTAGATATTAAATCTAAATTACTCACAAAACAATATTTTAGAAACGTATACATACAACCCAAAACTCGTCCTCTAAAATTGCACATAAAAGATGGTCCAGAAAAAAGTGGAAAGCCCACTCAAGAAAGCTTACATAAATGGGGCCATCTGTAATTGCGACATAGTCATTTTAATTTTTTAAGTGATCATGATAGAAATTTCTCGTAATGGGACAGATGTATTATTATTATTATTATTATTATTTTAAATTTACACTCTTCTTAACCTTTTTTCAATAATTTGTCTTTTAAAAATACATATAAAATAGAAAAGGAACACTTTTTTTTTTTAATAGGTAGAAATTACTGAATGATACGTATCACCATAACCGGATTTGCTGATCTCAGATTCAACCCACTTATTTAGTTAATAGCTTTACCTAATTTACAAACATTGCTCGATATTAAGCAAATAAAAATTAAAATATATAATTGTCACGATCACCTTTGATTAAATGATTAAGTTATATTTTGTACTTATTAATTTGTGAAGCATTAGGTAAGGTGGTCAAACTATTAGTATAGTATGCAAAGAGAATAATCTAACTAAAGACCCATCTTGATAATATTGAGATCCTTGAGTGAATTATTACGATTTCTTTTTTCATCATTTTTTCAAGAAAATATATTTGTATAATAAATTAGTCATATTTACTAGTGAAGTGGATAATCAATTACACTAAAAAAGGATACACATTAACAAACTAAATGACATGAGCCCGAAAGCATAGCAATTAACTGTATTTTGAAAAATTAACCAAAAAAAAAAATATTATAACATAGAGAGTATTTTGAGTTTATAGAAAAACTACCTTAAGCGTTCCTCTCGAATCTTATTGCATGTTCTTGAAATAGGTTCATGAAGCAAGAAGGTCAGCTCATGAAAGTGCAAAACGCATCAAAGTTGATTGATAGCTCGTAAGTTAATTTTCATCTGATAGTTGATTCAAGATGACAATTGATAATTAAAATATTAGCTGATATAATAGAAGTGTAATGTAAAGTTAGATGATAAAGTCAGTTGAAATAACATTTTCAATGAGCTTTTTCGAAACCTATAAAGCACGTGAGATAAGTTAGAATTATAAAAAAAAATCTCATTCTATACTACTATTCCATTTCAAGCATCATTTTAGGTTAGAGTCTTCCTTTCAAATTATCTATCATTCTATACTACTATTCCAATTCTACATGTATAATGAATCTTATAAAAAAAATTATATTTTTAATTTACCATACAATCTTGATTATCATAACATTATTAGGATAGAGATACATGAATATATGCTTTAGAAGATATATTGAAGAGTATATTTGAAAGATATATAAATCGTTAATTATTTTAATTTTTTTACTATAACGATAACTATTTTAGAATATAATAGGTTATAAGCTAACCAAATAAGTTATGAACCTGTTTATTGTACCATACAAGGTTAATTCAATATAGAAATAATTATTTTCTTGGTGTCACCAAAATATGATACAAATAGGTTAACATTGGATAGTAGGGGTCCCCCATTTTTATTTGTTAGGAGGGATCATTTATTGCATAATTGAGGTGCCAACATAATAAAAAAAAATCTCTAGGCATTTGAAGAAGTCCACCAAACTAAAAAACCAAGTTGATGCTCCTTGTTTGGGTATCAAGAAGTTGTGGTGCCCATAAATGAAAAATTGTAGTTTATTTTTTGAAAAGGAATAGCTTTCGGGTGAATAGGCACGCTTTATTTTTTTATTTTTTATTCATTCTTGAGGGAAAAATCGATTCTATGGTGCGACTATCGTTTTTTATAGTTTTATCTAACATTCACTTATATTAGTTTGTGTTAATTCAATGATAAAAAATCTATATATAAATTTCCTATTTTTGTGTGCCAATTTCTATTACTTAAGGTATAGAAAGCATTAGTAAATCAATCCATTATAATTAATTAATATAGGCATGATTTGTGAATAATATAGAAAGCATTTGTAAATCAATCTATTATATTAAATAATAACATAGGCATGATTTGTGAAGGAATAAATCCAAAGTTGCTTTCAATATAATAGAATAGCCCAGTTTTTGTATGGTTTGTGAGGATACCCAAATTGTTGGTTTCATTACAATTATAATTAGAATAGTAGGCTCCATCAATCCATTTAAAATAATAACTAGTCATCAAAAAGTGTGTTATACCACAAATACCTGAACCGCTCGACCGCTCCTCTCAAACCGGGTTAAACCTCCTTGATCGTCGATACCTGCAAAACACGTCGGGGTGGTCCCGGCGCGGACACTCCGACGCTCAAATCAGTGATGGTGTTTTGGAGAGAAAACGGCAGAGTAACGAGATAATATGTGTATGTGTGTTGTGTAAAATGAATGAACCTGTTCCCTTTTATGAGTGAGGTCATGTGCGAATCGAAGAGTTCTTGTCGGTCTAGAAGTCTTCCTCGTGTCTATCTCTAAACTAGGTCAAAGATATCCAGAATTTCAGAGTCCTTATCACTACAAACTTCTTTATGACTTGGCCACGAAGCCACCTCCAAGCTCTGGTCCCCTCGGCAGAACCCTCTGGCCGAGCTGCCTAGGTGCCGAGGTGCCTAGCTGTTAAAGTGTGCCGCTGCCTGGGTGCCTAGCTCCTAGGCGCCTAGCTCATTACCCTTAGTATCCTGTCTAGCTCACGTCGAGCTAATCTTCACCCAGCTGATTGAACCATGCCTAGCTGTGACCAAGCTCAGCCTATGACCGGTCCTTCATGAACTGCTACTTATGGTCGTATCAAAGTATCTTTCAAAAGACAACACAAATTAAATGAGGAAAACAAAAAGTAGACGTCTTTATGTAGAGCCATTATTAAGTATACGATCCCTTTCCTTTTCTATGAATTATCAACTTTGTAATTGTTCTCATTCTAAAGTGGCGACTGGATAGATTTTTCTTTATCTGTCCAATAAAGATTTATTTGATTAAAATTGGATGTGAAATATTTTTATTACAAAAAAATACTTATTAGTTTTTTTTCCCTATTTTTTTAAGAATCTCATCATGCACACAATTAGAAAAATAAATGTCATTACTAAAATATATTTTTCCAACATTATGTANAAAGAAATAAGGTAGGTTTCTGTATCAGTCATATTGGTACAACATTCAATTTTGAACATGATGGTTGGTAAAATTTATTCCTCACAAGCACGTTTTTCTTTGATATTCTAGCTTTTACAGTTGACACATTGCATCAAATTTGGCTAGCCAAAAGGGTATATAATGAGGGACAACACATACAAAATAAATTAAGATATTGAAAAAACTAATAGTTAGTTACTTACACTACTAGATTATCTGATGATATTTTGAAAATAATTTATACTTTTTAATCCAAAAAATAAATTTATAAATTATGCACATCAACTTGGGAGACTAGATGATAAATTTGTGTAATGACTTTCAATACTGCATAAAAAGTCTGATAATAATAATCAAAATAACAAACGTGGATCTATTTAAAACAAACATTTTTTAGTCTAATTATCACGAAAGAATTATGCAATTAAAGGTTGTGATCTCCTAATAGTGAATCTATACAACAATTTAAATTATGACTGATGATGGTGCATGAATAACGACCATGGCACACTATAATAATCAGTATAAGTATGACTAATATGTGCGAATTATAAATACAATTTAAATATTCTTACATATTTATTTTCTTAAATTATAGCAAACACTAATATGTGCGAAAGCGACCTTATTTACTGACCACAAAAACGTTACATCTAATCTGATTTTGTGAAAAGTTGGCTGTAAAAGATATGTTTTGAGATTTTTAACTGAAAAAGTAAAAATCATTTTGCATGTCGGGTTGAAAAATAGTTTCCACTGAGTGCAGACTGAGTCAACCCACTGAGTTTCCAAGATTTCAATTTTAGTGACACAGTACTTTATTCATTCTCCAAGCCTACACGTTATTATCGCAAATACTTACGTGCACCTAGGTACACCTTGCTAGGTGTACCAAGGCAGAGAGTGGCTACACGTAAGAAAAAGGAGCGTGGCTTTACAAATAAAAATCCTGTCCAAATCCTAGGTGCACGCGCAGAGAGAGAGATAATAAGGTATGCAAGTTTTTTTTTTTTGTTTAAAAAAGACAAGTGTCCAATATATATTGGATAATAAATTTTACATATCATATTATATAAATTAAATTATTATTCACATTTTATATTAAAAAATAAAAATAAAAATACCAAAATTCATAATTTTTCAATCTCTACAAATAGAGACCACATTTGATAAGTTTTGGAACACAATTAATTTATCCTTTTTTATAATTAAATTATCTTTTTGGAAGGTGATGACACAAATATATAATAAGATGAACATGTTACATACTAAGATGCGCATGTTATATAGTAAAATGAACATGTTATAGAACAAGATGAAAATGTTATAATTTTACAGATGGAATTTAGATGAACATTTTATACAATAAGATGAACATGTTACATAACAAGATGAACATGTTATAGAATAAGATGAACATGTTACATATTTACACAATAAGATGAACATATGAACGTGTTATAAAATAAGATGAACATATGAACATGTTATATAGTAAGATGAACATATGAACATTGGAACACAATTAATTTATCATTTTTTACAATTAATTTATCTTATTGGAAGATTATGACGCAAATATATAATTAGATAAATATGTTACATAGTAAGATTAACATGTTATAGAGTAAGATGAACATGTCATAGAATAAGATGAAAATGTTATATTTTTCAGAGATGAAATTTAGATGAACATGTTACATAATAAAATGAACATGTTATAGAATAAGATGAACATGTTACATAATAAAATAAACATGTTATAGAATAAGATGGACATGTTTAGATTCCATATCTACATCACGGGCTCTCACATTATTTTCTCCAATTTCCACTTCATATATAAAATTCTGGTCAATTTCTTGCTCGACTTTCACTCGTTTAATGCAAGCATCTCCGCCCTGAAATAATAAACCATAATCTACAGATAAGAACTCAAATTTATGCAATAGTCATACTATAGGGAATGAAAGTGAAAAACTAGTAGAATGTAAAATAAATTTCATAAATTAGTCTTTCGATCGAATATCCTCCACCTTCACAAACCAAAATCCTCTCTAATAAGATGAAAATGTTACATTTTTCACATATGAAATTTAGATGAACATGTTATAAAATAAGATGAACATGTTACATAATAAAATGAACATGTTATACGATAAGATGAACATGTTACATAATAAAATGAACATGTTATAGAATAAGATGAACATGTTACATAATAAAATAAACATGTTATAGAATAAGATGGACATGTTTAGATTCCATATCTACATCACGGGCTCTCACATTATTTTCTCCAATTTCCACTTCATATATAAAATTCTGGTCAATTTCTTGCTCGACTTTCACTCGTTTAATGCAAGCATCTCCGCCCTGAAATAATAAACCATAATCTACAGATAAGAACTCAAATTTATGCAATAGTCATACTATAGAGAATGAAAGTGAAAAACTAGTAGAATGTAAAATAAATTTCATAAATTGGTCTTTCGATCGAATATCCTCCACCTTCACAAACCAAAATCCTCTCTAATAAGATGAAAATGTTACATTTTTCACATATGAAATTTAGATGAACATGTTATAAAATAAGATGAACATGTTACATAATAAAATGAACATGTTATACGATAAGATGAACATGTTACATAATAAAATGAACATGTTATAGAATAAGATGAACATGTTACATAATAAAATAAACATGTTATAGAATAAGTTGGACATGTTATAGAATAAGATGGACATGTTTAGATTCCATATCTACATCACGGGCTCTCACATTATTTTCTCCAATTTCCACTTGATACACAAAATTCTGGTCAATTTCTTGCTCGACTTTCACTCGTTTAATGCAAGCACCCCCGCCTTGAAATAATAAACCATAATCTACATATAAGAACTCAAATTTATGCAATAGTCATACTATATGGAATGAAAGTGAAAAACTAGTAGAATGTAAAAGAAATTTCATAAATTAGTCTTTCGATCGAATATCCTCCACCTTCACAAACCAAAATCTTCTCTAATAAGATGAAAATGTTACATTTTCACAGATGAAAATTAGATGAACATGTTATAGAATAAAATGAACATGTTACATAATAAAATGAACATGTTATAGAATAAGATGAACATGTTACATAATAAAATGACATGTTATAGAATAAAATGAACATCTTACATACACAATAAGGTGAACATGTTACCAAAAAACGAAAATTAGTTGTGTTCAAAAACCTATCAAATGTGGTCTCTATTTATAGATAATGAAAAATTATGAATTTTGGTATTTTTATTTTATTTTTTTAATATAAATAATTAATGATATTTTAATTTATGTAATATGTCTCATTTTTTCATTAAAAAATAAAAATTGGGAGAGTGCACTACACCTTCTAAATTTTCTAGCTTTTTGAGCTTTTTGAGAATGAGCAGCGCGTGCAAATCGGGCATGGCACACCTAGCAAGGTGTGCCTAGGCACACGATAGTGCAACTGCGTTATTATCACTGTCCAACCCCACAGAAACACTCAAATAAAAAAGAAAAGCGAGCACAAATTAAACGCAGGTACGCAGGCGATAATACAGAGGGGCGATTTTTTTTTTTTATTTTTTTTTTTGCCCAAAAGAAAGAAGAGAAAAAAAATCCACTTTCACCCACTCAGTATATTCTATCTAATCCACACAACTGTTGAGCAAAAATACAAACAGAAAAAGTGAAAGCATATTTAAGAGGAGCCATTATCCTACAAAAAGAAGCTCCTCCTTCTTTCTAGTAAGTGCGTATTTTATTGTTATTATTTATTTTTTTTAAAAAAAAATGTTAATGTAGGTGACCCATTGATGTATGGTGATGAGTTGGAACGCTTTGTGAGTGTGAAACTATAATTTAAGCAAAGTCATTTCGTTCTCGTACATTGTTACAGACGATGTTTTGTAAGAGCCCATTTTACAACTAGCTTTTCTTTAGTCGTTCATCCTGCCAACACCACTTTCTTGGTGTTTTTCTCGAAGATTATCGTGCCGGGCCCTCTTTTATTTCCAAAGGGTTTCTGAATTTTTTTGAATTTTTTGGGCATTTGCTCAGAAGGGATATCTACATAACTGAAGCCAGATATTAGCTAATCCAAGGAATGTGTTTTCTGTAATTTTGAGGCGGCCGGAGATGGATATTGAAAGCTGGAGCCCTGAAAATCGTGTAAAGGTGAGACCTTTATGCCCAAAAAAGAAAAGGAAAATAGAAGATTATTTTTATTATTTATTTTTTATTTTTGTTTTGAGCTTTGTGCTGATTTTTGTTTCCTATAATTGATTGTTTTGTTGTTTATATTATTAGAAGGAATCATGGAGGACAGTATTGACATTGGCTTACCAGAGCTTGGGTGTTGTGTATGGGGATTTAAGCACTTCACCTTTGTATGTCTACAAGAGCACTTTTGCAGAGGACATTCAACATTCAGAGACCAATGAGGAAATATTTGGAGTTTTATCTTTTATTTTCTGGACCTTAACTATAATTCCTCTGCTTAAATATGTCTTCATAGTGCTTAGAGCTGATGATAATGGTGAAGGGGGCACTTTTGCTTTGTACTCCCTTTTATGCCGACATGCCAAAGTCAGCGTTTTGCCAAACGGCCAACTTGCCGATGAAGATATATATGAGTACAACAAAAATGATATCACATCTGGTAATAATAATAATAAAGGTTTTGGTAAGAAACTGAGATTAACTCTGGAAAAGCATAAGTTGCTCCAGAGGATGTTGCTTACTTTGGCTTTGATTGGGACTTGTATGGTTATTGGTGATGGAGTTCTTATGCCTGCAATTTCTGGTAATAAAGTTACCCTTTGCATTAATCCTCTGATGGTATTCAGTTATTCGTTAATAATACTAAGTCATAATTTTTTTTTTTTTGTTTTTTTTTTTGTTATTTTTGTGTGTTTGTGTGCAGTTTTTTCTGCAGTATCTGGGCTGGAGCTTGTTGTTTCGAAGCATCATCACCATTGTGAGTCTTTGCTTACTAATTACGTTTCATCTTTTTTTGTTCATTATTTGATCTGCTTTTGTTCTTCAATCTTTTGGTATGCAAAGTCTTCTGTTTGAATGGAATCATAGCATGAATTCTAAAATTCAACTAATGTAAAGTCGCATCTCTACATGCATGATGAGAATTCTTCAATATATTGAAGAGCTTCACTTTTTGTCTATAATATGGTGCTTAGCCTTTTAAGTTTGGTTCAAAACATAAATCTATTTCTGAATTTGCACAAATGGGATTTAGTCATTTAGATATGTCAACAAAAAAAGAAAAAGGAGAAATTATGATTTAGATTGGACTCTAAAGAAAAAGTAGTTATGGTTTTCGGCTTTTGTTTAGGATGTGCCGGCATTTATTTTATTCTTTCTTTTTCTTTTTTTAAACAAAACCCACTATACTGTGGCTATGGGATCTTTTCTTATTGTATGACAAAGTTCTTTGCTTTAATCAAAGTCAAATCATCACTATCCATATATAAAGTAAAGTTTGGTCACCATCTTCTTTATTGTGGCAAGTATAAAGGGTATCATACATGGAGATGCAAGTTGAGTAAAACTAATTAAAAGTTCCATTAATTTAAGAGTTATGTGGATAACGTTGTACCCTTATAAAGTAAATGCTTTATGATAACACAGTGAAGAAAAGCAGTCGAATTAAGTGGTTTTCTAAATAAAAAAGTGTTTTTCTGGAAAGCCTAGTACATGTAGAACTTGAATAGAGTTAATGAGAACTGTGAACAAGAAGCATTACTATCGAAAAAAGATGATTTGAAACAATATAGCAAGTTATATCAGAAGAGGTTCTTGATTTGTTTTTATGGTTAAATAATACAGTATGGTTCTTTGTCGTTAGTATATTTATATTTAAACGAATTAGTGTAACAGAAAATCTTAAAAAATGTATATTTATATTTATATTTTTATTTTTACATGTCATGCAGATATAGAAGTTCCAGTGGCTTGTGTAATCCTGCTGTTTTTGTTCTATCTTCAACATTACGGGACCCACAGGCTCGGAGTTATATTCGCTCCGATTGTGATAACCTGGCTTTTCTGCATAAGTGCTATTGGCTTATACAACATTTTCCACTGGAATCCACTTATTTATAAGGCACTTTCTCCTTATTACATGTACAAGTTCTTGAAAAAGACTCAAAAACGAGGCTGGATGTCACTCGGAGGTATTTTATTGTGTATAACGGGCTCAGAGGCCATGTTTGCCGATCTTGGGCACTTCTCTCAGTTATCCATCCAGGTATTGATTGTAATTTTCAACCCTGAGATTTCTTGAAACTAATTTCTTGATTCTTAATTGATAGAACTAATCTCATTCCAATAAGCTCGTTGGAATTTTTATTTCAGTTATCAGCTAATTTTATCAAACACTTCTATCATATAAGCTAGCTTTTTAGATATAAGTCATAAGCTATCAACTAGTTTTACCAAACATAGCCTAATTGTCGATGTTTTGTGGTTTTGTGCTACACAATGCAGATAGCCTTTAGCTTTGTAGTCTATCCATCCTTAATCCTTGCTTACATGGGACAAGCTGCTTATCTATCCAAACACCACATAATGGAGAGTGACTATCATATTGGATTCTATGTATCAGTACCAGGTATGTAGGAAAATTCGATAAATTCATTCAAGTTCAACATAAGCAAAGATTTTATTTTTTATTTTTGTTCTTATAGAGAAGTTCATTTTCTTTCTATTTAATGCAGAAATGCTAAGATGGCCAGTTCTTGCAATTGCTATACTCGCCGCTGTTGTGGGAAGCCAAGCCGTTATAACCGGGACTTTTTCCATAATTAAGCAATGTTGTGCACTCGGCTGCTTCCCTCGGGTCAAAATTATTCACACTTCGTCTAAAATGTGCGGCCAAATTTACATTCCCGAAATCAACTGGACTTTGATGATCCTCTGTTTGGCTGTTACTGTTGGATTTAGGGACACTAAGCACATTAGCAATGCATCAGGTAAACCACAGCTCGATCGAGCTTTACTAATTTGCACCATTTATATGGAAGATTCGCTATACATTCAGTTGATAGTNNNNTATAAAATTTTAAAAATCGGACAAACTTGAAGCTTTGATTAGGCCTCTAAACGAGCCCAGCCGCTCGAGCTCGAGCCCTTAACGAGCTAGAAATCGACCTCGAGCGGCTCATTTATCAATATTAACGAGCCAATTTCGAGCTTTAACGAACCGAATGATAGAAAATTATATAAAAATTCTCTTTTCGAGTCTTTACGAGCCTTATCAAGCCGAGCCGAGACCGGCTTGTTAACAAAACGAGCTTAAGTGAGCTAGACTCAAGCAGAGCTCACGAGTTTCGTTTAACAACTCGAGCTTTGATTAGGCCTCTAAACAAGCCACGCTGAGCTCGAGCCCTTAAAGAGCCAGAAATCAAGCTCGAGCTCAGCTTGTTTATCAATATCAACGAGCCAAAAATCAAGCTCGAGTTTAGCTCGTTTATCAATGTTAACGAGCCGAGTTCACGCCGATCTCGATCTTTAACGAACCGAACTATGAAAAATTATACAAAAATTATCTTTTCGAGTCTTATCGAGCCGAGCTAGTTTACCGAAACGAGCATTAAGCGAGCTCGACTCGAACCAAGCCGATTTCACGAGCAACTCGTTTCGTTTAACAGCTCTGGCTTTGATAATAACGAAGTTTTCACGCCTTCACTCGGCTCGAAATGCACTTTTTTACATCTCTATATATCCTATATTTTACCGGCACACACACACACACACGCAGGTCTTGCCGTTATAACCGTCATGCTCGTCACGACGTGCCTCATGTCCCTCGTCATCGTCTTGTGCTGGAACCGAAATGTCCTTTTCGCCCTCGCCTTCATACTCCTCTTCGGCTCGGTCGAGGCCCTCTACTTCTCGGCCTCCCTCATAAAGTTCCTCGAGGGCGCGTGGGTCCCGGTCGCCCTCTCCCTCGTCTTCCTCGCCGTCATGCACGCGTGGCACTACGGCACCCTCAAGAAGTACGAGTTCGACGTGCAGAACAAGGTCTCCATCAACTGGCTATTGGGCCTGGGCCCGAACCTCGGCATAGTTCGGGTCCGCGGCATCGGGCTCATCCACACCGAGCTCGTCTCCGGCATTCCCGCCATTTTCTCCCACTTCGTCACGAATCTTCCCGCCTTCCATCAGGTCCTTGTTCTGTTCTGTATAAAGTATGTGCCCGTGCCACATGTCAGGCCCGAAGAGAGGTTCTTAGTGGGCCGAGTTGGGCCCAAGGAGTATCGGGTCTATCGTTGCATAGCCCGATATGGGATTCGTGACACGCTCGTTGATGACGTGGAGTTCGAGAAGGATCTCGTTTGCAGTATAGCCGAGTTTATCAAGTTGGAGGGCGGGCCCAGCGGGCCCAGTTCGGAGGGTTCATTTACCGATGGAGAAAATGAGCGGAAGATGGCCGTGATTGGGACGCAGTTGGGCCATGGCAATGAGGATGAATTGGGCCCGGATTTGGGCCTGAGGAGAAGGGTGAGGTTTGTTGTACCGGAAAGCCCGAGGATTGATCGGGAGGCCCGATTAGAGCTGAAGGAGCTTATGGAGTCGCGGGAGGCTGGGATGGCGTTTATATTAGGGCACTGTCATGTGAAGGCGAAAAAGGGGTCGGGATTGATAAAGAGGCTCGTGATTAACGTGGGGTACGATTTTTTGAGGAGGAATTCGAGGGAGCCGACGTACGTGTCGAGTTTTCCGCGGGCGTCGACTTTGGAGGTGGGGATGGTTTATCAAGTGTGATTAGATTGGATTAGGTTCTGTTTTGTGTTGGTGTAAAGGTAGCTTCTTTTGTACTTGTGTTTGTGGCAGATGGTTTGGTTTAGCTGCCTGTGGACAGTTTTTATGTAAATGATGATAGATTTATGTTTGGTAATTATAATACAGGTTAATTGAGGTATGAAATCCTGGGTTTGAAATATGCAGAGTTTTGGTGTGTATGGAGTTTAGGGGGAAAGAAAAAAGGAAAAAAAAAAAAAAATGCAGAGTGAATTGGTGATCTATTAGTAATGTAAAGTGGGTGGTGTGATAAAATATGGAAATAGGTAGTTAATGAGGTCTTCTTTTTGCCATGTACATTTGGTAGTTAATGAGGTCTTCTTTTTGCCATGTACATTTGGTAGATAAAATATGGAAATAATCAATTAATCAACAAAATGCATTAATAATTTAAAGTACACACCAAACTCACTCAATGACAAAGTAGAGCCCTTGTCATGTTTGCAAGGAGTACTTGCACATAAATTATCTAAAAGAATTGACAAAAAATAAAATCATCCATATGTGCCTTGAAACAGTCATCTCACATTCTCACCCTTAAAAAGAAGTTGTCATGAGAGCCAAAACTCACCAGAAAGAAAACTCACTTTGTCCCAATTGACAAATACAATCACTTGAAGAAAACATATAAAGAAAATTACCCTTGTATTTTTAACTGCAACTTTTCTGTTTAAACTTGTTACAAATAAAAAATATATATCATATATGTTTTTTAAACTTGTTAGGACAATCCACATCAATGTAGTGTTCTTCCTTCTTGGAAGGTTCATCATGTGTAATTAGGCAAATCCCAATAGCTAACGTTCTTAGACAAATTCCAATATCATGGGTATCATCATGTGTAATTAGCTTTATAGCAGATGTTGTATAGCTATAGCAAATGAAAGTGATTTTTTCACTTTCATTTGCAGCCCAGCCCTGTTAGTAGCCCTGTTAGCTTCATTTGCAGAATTATTGGGAAGAAATAAAATAGATTTTTTACCTTGAAACAAACCTAGGGAGAAAAGATTATGAAAGTATATGTTAGTAGAAGAGAGAGAAAAGTCTCCAAGTAAAACCTCACAAATTTGGTGAGATTTTCACATGTATTTTTTCTTTATAATTTTGGTAAAAAAGTCTCCAAGAATCATTTTCTTTTACAAGTCTCATAAAATCTTCATAACTTGAATAACGGATAACTTTTAGAGAGTCTTGTAAAGTTTTAATTGAATACATGTAAACTTTTTTAGAGTCTAAAAAAGTTTCAATTGAATACCCCTGAATTTCAAAAGTCTCTAAAAGTCCTAATTGAATACACATGTTCGTGGGGATTAATTATCGCGTTCGCCGGCCGGGAGTGCTGCGGCTTTCTCAATTTCTCGTACTTCCGATCGAGAAATTCCGACGATTGGGAGCGAGCTTCGCCGTCCGGCGAAGAACAAGAGAATCTCCTACAGATATGGTGGCGCAGGAGGGTAAGGCCGCTGAACAAGGTGAGGGAATGGTCGGAGCTCGTGGCCGGGCCCCGGTGGAAGACGTTCGTCCGCCGGTTCAACAGGACCGGCGGCGGCCGGCTCAGACCTGGAAAATACCGATACGACCCCCTCGGCTACTCCCTCAATTTCGATGACGGCCAGGGGCAAAACGGTCAATTTGAGACCTCGCGTGATTTCTCCTCGCGCTACACGAAGGTCCCCGTCCAGAGCGGCCAATCGGAGGGTGCCACATCGTCCGCGTTAAATACGTCGGGTGGCTAATGAATAATCATCTATGATCTATCATGTCGTTTGGCTGCTGTATATATAGCTCATTACTTTGCAAATCTGATCAAATTGTTTTACCATGTTTTAAGAAGGTTGGTATTTTTTGTACGTGTTCGATTTGTTTTGTAACTTAGTTAGCTAGATTGTTCGATTCCCATTAGCGGTTTTCTTGCTTTTTTGTGTCAGTTCATCATCTAAACGAGTCGCAACGGAGCGCGATTCACATAATCATAGAAAATATTGAAGACCACAATATATGCATAATCAAACAAAGCTTTTCAATGCTCGATGAGCCATAATTTTTAAAGTTTAGCTGGACTCGATAAAAATATATTATAATGCTCGAAATCTGCTCGATTTTTGCTCGAACTTTTAATACAGAAAAAACTATACAAATAAGATTTTTTTTTTCAACTTTTACTCGAAATTAGATCGAATTTACCGTATTAAGATAAATTGCACTTGTATTTGAGAAGCATTTGAATTTACATAGGCTCAAGGTTGACTCACAAACATTTGCAGCCAAAGCCACAATATTGATTGTTTACATTATTGGAGAATTCAGCCATAAACAAAATTTTAAACTAATTTTTTTTCAGTGTTTTTACAATGTACAAATCCAAGATCTATAGAACTTGGAAGATCGAATTAGACTCTCAATTTTTATTTTTATTTTTCTTAACCTATTATACAAATGCTAAAAGCAGAGCCTTTAGATCTTTCAAAATAATGGGCTAAAAAGTTTGTCCCTTTAGCACCAAAAACAAAATTTCAGTTCATTGGAACATAAGATTGAGTCTCATCACCATGAAAATATATAAATAAAGGAAAACAAGTAAACAACACAACACACAAAAAAAGAGTGGTCACACAGTATAAAAAAGGCTCACAATTATTGGAGTTGGAAAAAGATAAAGAATGAGAAAGCATAAAACAATTAACAAAGCCAACTTGATACCTGCTCTAGCTAACAACTCTAAGCCAGCTTGTGCTTTAACAGATATTATTAATAAACTAGAACTTTTAATCACACAAGATTCAAGATCTACGAAGATCTAAAAGCATTGTCAAATTTGACCCTTTTACTAAAGCAATAATCCAACTTTGTCTCAAAGGCCTTTGTTTAATGAAATAACTTAGTGTTGCTGGTGTTAAAACACCTGATATAGATTATAATAATTTCATTCCTGTACAGAAAACAAGCATCAAACGTGGTACAAAACGAATCGTAGCAACAAAAAGCAATGAACAGAATGTACCTAAGGCATCACTAATAACGCACTGAATTATAATAGCTATACCAATTAATAAATTTTAATCAAAAACAATTTTCCAGCCACAGGCAAATTTCGAAACAAATCAGGGCTCAAACTCGATCACCATTCATGCACGAATTACTAAAAAACGAGAGAAAAATGTACGACACCTTTTAGATGCCTTCTGTTCTATGCATCCACGCCGGTAACTCCACATTCGTAGGAGACGAGCCCTCAAATCTTTCGCCAGACGAGCTTCCGAATTTACCCTTTTTCGACCAAAGCCAAATCTTCGAAACCGAATAGCTATCTGTTTTCGAGCCAATACCTATCCTTTTCCCCTCCGTGCTCGAGTTTTCCTTAAAAACATCACGTTTAACCCGATTTTGGCCCAAAGCCACTTTGAGATTTTCATCACCCACAACATATTGATACGAACCCATCGAAAAACACCTTCTCTCGTCCAATTTACTACTGCTACTGCTAGTGCTAGTACTAGTTTCCCCAATTTTAACCACCCCGCCTTCATTATTCTCGGTAAACTTCCGGAACTTTCCGAGCCTGACCTGAAAAACTCCCTTCTTCCCCACCACAACCTCCTCCTCGATTTCGACCCGCTTACGAGCCGAAATCGCGAACCGATTCTCATCCACATCATCATCATCCTCCTCCCGAAAATCACAAAAATCGAAAACCGGGTTCTCAATCGAGAAACCCGGGTTACTGAAAAGGGCCCCTCTGCATAACGGGCAAGTCGAGTTCGAGAGGAGCCACGTGTCTATACAGCTGACGTGGAACGCGTGGCTGCACGTGGGGAGCAGCCGCAGCTGATCGGTGCCCACGAACTCACACAAACAGACAGCACAGTCGAAGGGGTCCGCCGTGGGGCCCACGATCTCTTTGTATGAGAAAACGGGCAGCGAGTCTATGAAAGATTGGTCCAAGCCAGAGTCGTGAAGGTGAAAGAGCTGCTGAAGTTGCCTCTGAAGCGTGTTTTGGCCGGATCCGGAAGGTTCCGGACGCCTCCGGCCGGCGAGCGATGAAGAATTGGTGTTCTTGCTGAGGAAGCGGACGAGTAAGTGGAGAATGCCGGATATGAAGAAAAGGGCGGCTAGGATGACTATGATGAAAAGGAGGGCCGGGCTTATTTTGGATCCGGATGGTGGTCGAGCGGTGGGTTCTTTTTGAAAATCGGGCACGATTTGGGGGGGTGGGTAGGTTAAGAAAGTGTTGTCCCTTTGTGTGATTTGGTGCCTCTTAATCCATCCAAGTTCTTGCATTCTTATTGTAAAAAAGGTCTAGCTAGACTTCAAAAAATTCGAGAAAACTGGCTAAGAAAACCTCATTTACTGAGCAGGAAACAGGGGATTTGGGTCTGGCAAAGCATCAAACAATTGGTGAACATTAAGAAAAGAAAAAGAAAGGCTAAAAATTTCTTGAGACCAGTTTATTGATTTTCCCAATTTGGGTTAAAAACAAAAAATCTACTAAGATAGACCTTAAAACCAAACTCGAAAAAACTGGCTACAAAAAGCTATGTCTACCTCATTTACTGAGCAGGAAACAGGGGATTTTGGGTCAGCCAAAGCTTCAAACACTTGCTGGGCAGGAAAAAAAAAAATGCTAAATTTATTGATCCCCCAATTTGGGCTAAAAACAAAAATTTACAGAAAGGAAGGAAAAAAAAAATGGAGAGAACACACAAGGATTGAGCAGCAGGTGAGTAGGTGCTAATAAAAGTTAGCAGTTTGCATATGTTTTATGATAGTAATAGAAAGTAGAAAAAAACACCTGTCAATGATGTGAAAAGATGACAAAATCAGTAACTTCATAAAGATAATCAGAAGCTTGAAGATGCCAATCCCTGTTATTAGCATTGAATAATATGAATATGGACCCGTTTCTTGCAGTGCAACAAAAAGCCTAACACACACAGCCTTTTTTTTTTTTTTATTTAANAAGATTGGGAAATTGGAATCTCAACAACCCTTTTAAAATACTAAGAACAAGAAATGAAATTGGACAATTTATGAGCTTAATTTCTCGTTCTCTCACTATCTCCCACACTAAAAAACAAATATTTGCTCATAAATATGCAGATACGTACAGCCAAGATTTTAGCCTCTATATTTATATATTGGCATCTCTCGAGGAAAGATGCATGTGACGTTAAATTAGTAGTAATACTTAACAAATAAAAATGCATACTTTCCTATAAGGGTCATAATTTTATAATTTTATATATATTATTTATAATAACATTTTTGTTCTAGAATATAAATAACATTTTAGTTATAGAATATATGTTTGCCCAAGGCATAGATTCACAAATTCTTTTGGTTGAGACAGACTGAATTGTTAGGCTGTCAGAAATTTATGCAAATTTTCTCAGTATATTTGACCATGGAAGAAATGATTAGACTACTCCCTATAATAACCCCTCACAACATAACCCAATCCAACTTTTTAATATAATACTCATTTCTCTCTCCTCCACCTATACAACTCACAACCCAATTTTATTTTTACTCACATCAATGACACCATCTCAACCCAACCCAACTCATCTTAATATTTTCTTTTTGTTTTATTTTTAATTAAATATTATCTATAATAATTTGTATTAAATTTAAAATTCTACACAAATACATATTAAAATATTTTATATTTTAATATTCGCAATTATAATTTTAAAATATTATCGTCCACATTAAAGGTTGATTTTTTTTCACTCAATAACAAAATAGATATTACAAGATTTGAAATATAAAATTAAAAAAAGATAAACTCAGATATAGATAGATGCATGAAATACATATTACTACTACGAAAGAAGTGCAAATTACATATCTAATTATAATTTCTAAATTTTTGCCATATATGCTCAATCAAGTCATTTTGAAGAGCACGATGAGCTTGTCTATTACGAAGTTGATCCCTATTAATCATATATTGGGACAGACTTGAAATGCGTTGTGTAGAGTAGTTGAGTTCAACATCGTCTGATTGTAATATTGTGGATATATCCACAAGAAATTCTGTGGGATCATAGTAGTTTTGGTATGTTTCTTGTTCATCCTCCACTATTGATTCAAGGACAAATGCTGCAACAATTTGAAAGTGACATTACAATTACTACAATAAACTTAAGGTAACAGTTACTACAATAATACAGCAACAGTTACTACAATAATTTGAAAGTAGAAATTACATAAACGAAATTACATAATCTAAATGATAGAAGGAGCTACAATGGATTCATGAGCCAAATACAATTTCCATTAGTCGGCGCTTGAGCTCCTCTTCGTCTGCAGATAAATGAGATTTTGCCAACAATGTATTAAGCGTTCGTTGATGCATTTTTATTTTCCCGGCATGTATCTTTTCACGCTCCAATTCCATTTTAGCATTAGAAAATTGTTGGGAATTTTGATTTGGATTTAGGTTCGGATAATTTTGGGAGTTGAAAAAATTATTGGGGTAATTTGGATCCATTAAGCTCAAATAACTTGAAATATGCTAGAAAGAGAAGATATGTGAAGATTAAGAAAGGTTGAGTTCGTTTGTAAAACTATCTCAAAATTAGGCTCTATTGATAGAGAAAAAAAAATTATGAATTTTGATATAATTTTTATTCATTTTTAATACAAAAATATTTATAATATTATCCATTAAAATTTACAATTAAAAAAGAAATAAACATCCATTCATACTTTGACAAGTGTCACATTGGAGATG